CAAACGCGATATGAAACATCAATCAGAAGAATGAGAAAAGGATGCCCGCAGGGCTCCATCATAGGTCCTGCGACTTGGAATTGGTGTATGGATGCCCTTCTAAACACATTGAATGTAAATATACCAAATGAAGATGTGGAATCTGTCGCGTATGCCGACGACTTAACTATTATGATAAAAGGAAATTCACGGAGAGAGGTGGAGGATCTTGGAGGCAAGTCTATAGAAATCTTAGATAAATGGTACATAGATCACAAACTGAAAATATCTATGGCCAAAACAGTGGCTCTATTAGTTAAAGGAAAGCTAGATAAAGAGAGGATGCCTAGAATCAAAATAAATAATATAAATGTCAAGTATAAGAATCAGATAAAATACCTAGGCATAATTATCAACGATCGCCTAAACTTTATATCGCATGAGAAATATCTAAGGGACAAACTGACTAAGTTTGTCATGACAATCAGAAGAGTCGCCAAAGAAGAATGGGGCCAAAAAGGCATATTGTTGAGACAATGTACAGGGCGGTCGTTAACCCCATAGCAACGTATGCGTCATCAGTTTGGTATGATAAGACGGGACACACAATAGTACAAAGACATCTTTTGGCAGCACAAAGATCAATTTTATTAGTAATTACACGAGCATGCAGAACCGTTTCAACGGCTGCACTACAAGTATTAAGTGGCTTAACGCCCATTGATCTAGCAATAGTTAGACAAGGTTTGATTAATAAAGTTAAAAGAAATAATACTATATCCTGGAACAGTTACAATTTTAGAAAAAAGGACAACCCTTCGGACATAGACCTGACAGAAAAAATTGAACATATCGAAACAGAAATTTATTCTCAATGGCAGACACGATGGAACGGCGAAGTACACGGTCGAGACACATATAGTTTTATTAATGATACCAACTTTGCAGGATCCAACAGATGGTTTAAACCAGATAGGTATAGCACTTATTTAATCACTAGTTATGGCTCTATAAATTATACATTACACAGAAGAAGGATAATAGAATCACCCGACTGTCCTATGTGTTGTGGTACCGAGGAGACTGTTGACCACATGTTATATGTGTGCCCTCTATACGAAGAATTTAGATACGACCAACTTCGTTTAAACAGAACAAACGAAAACAAAAAAAGCATTGTTGTCTACACGAGAATCTTACCTTACCTTTAAAAAATACGCCAAAGATCTATTTGACCGACGCAAGTCATATAAAAACTCGATAACAGTAGTAGAAGGGACCGCCTCCACGGGGCTAGGGACCGGCAACGGCAGGACGTAGTCCTGACGGCAAAGTGACCCCAAACGAAAAGGAAAACACTTAGTTTTTATAATAAAATACGACTAATTCTTAGTTAAAATCAAATGTAAAATCAAAATTAAAATTAATGTTAAATTTAAATTTAGATCTAAAATTAAATATAAAGTACACTAAATAACATCGTATCATTATGCGCTCAAAACATACAGTTTTTATAGTTATTCATTTCAAAATACTTGCATAGCTACATTCCTATTCCTATACAGTTTTTTTTTTAACTCATACTATCCTTATAACAGTCACAGTCACATAGCATTAACATTACGATACTTACCTCAAAACGCATACAATATTATAACTAAACAGCAATACTCACCTAAAGCATAAAGTTCAATAGACCTACCGGAAATACCTGCAAACAAAAGTGCATGATAATTAGTTGTACAAAATTAAATTAAAGTTAAGCTTAATTTCCCAAGTTTATGCAATTATTGAAAATTTTAAATATTTAAAGCTCGATAACTGCAACAAATTAGGCAAGCAAATGAAAAAAAAAAGAAAAATGCCCGGGTGAACCTCTTTTCCGACCCTCTCGTGGGACCAATTGTAGAATCTTCAACAAAAAATTTAGTTTAAGGATGGAAGTTGGAAGTGTGATGGAGGATGAGGTGAGAGAGGGGGAGGGGGAGGAGATAGAAGTGAGGGCATTGTGGAGCCAGTAATCGCTTCCGCATGCGGAGTTGCCGTGGATGAACAGCCTTGCACCACCTACAAGGCTGGCCCGTCTGCAAGCGAGGCTGATGAGAGCGACACACAACTAGTGGGTGACGACCCCATCAACCTGTGCCACGAGGGAGGCGCGAGCCTTATTGGGCAGGCAAAGCACTGTGCCCGGTATATTCATGGACACAGGCAAAGCCAGGAGGGGTAGGCCGCCAAAGCACCCATTCCGGATGGTCGTGTTTGCCAGCGGTGTCGAATGCGGCGCGGAGAGCGACGCGTTCGCGTTCTACGCCGCCTCCGCAGCATCCGCAGGCACAAGGCACGAAAGAAAAAGGCAAGGCAACCATCACACCTGACATACAGGACATGGCGGTCGCTAAGTAGCGGCTCCTGGACACAGCAAATGGGGACCGGCAGGAGAAGGAGGTGTTAAAGACAAGCTGCAGTTCGGCCAGCCCTTCCCCCAGCCGATCCATTAAATCGCTACCGGACGAGGAGGATCTGGCGAGGGATTTCCGGAGTATGCCGACTGCGGACATTGGAGCGGAAATATTCGAGCAGATAAAAGATGTGAAGTTTATGGTCGGATGCGCAAAAAGTCTGCGGACGGACTTCGTCCAGGGTCTCCGCCTAGCGGCCACCTCTGTGCGCGTAGCCACCACAGAGATCCAAAAAGATCACTGCAGCTGGTCCTGCCTCGCTTCTGGAGGCGGACAATATCCGCCTCCGGACGAAAGTCGAGAATCTGGAAGGCAAAGTAGCGCGTCTCATTACCAAGGCGAAGTCTTTTCAAGGCAGAAGACCGACCAGAGACAGGGACTTGATGCCCCTCCTCTTGTGCCGCCGCCGAGAGACGAGTCGGCGGATGCGGCTTCGCGTGATCCCGTTCCATGGATTTCAGCACCCAAAAGGCGGACGGCACGAGGAGGAAGAATGAAGTCGGATGGAAGGAGTGGAGCTCCCCTCCCTCGACCAGCAGCAAACCAGCAGCTGCTGGAAAAGATAGGGACGCTGGAGGAGTTCCGGAGGGACCCTGCAAGACCAAGGAACACGCTCCCACTAACAGCTGCGCCCCCGTCTAAGATGTTACAGTCGGCTAAGGGAGTGTCGCTTGCCCGGCAAAACCCGACACCTGCGGGAGTCGGTCATGCTATGGCTCCTAAGAAGAAGAAGAGGACACAAAATCCCCTGCCCATCACTGAGCCCGCGGAGGTCACGGGGGCGCCGGTGCCAGCTGCAACAGCAGTAACCACAGGCACCCCGCCCGTGACGTCCCCGTGGTCACAGGTGGTGGGACGGAGGGAGAAAAGGGCGGCAAAGACCGCCGTCACACCGCAGCAGGCACCGCCCAGCCAGACGGCCTCTATCAGCGGCTACACCCATAGGAAGGGGCTGCCTGGGGCGTGTCCCAAGGACAGCGGCTGTCGCTCGGACCGTCCTGACTGGAGGCACGGTGGACAGGGACATGAATGCCCAATCCCCATTGGCGCCGCCATACCAGGGTCGGTGATGGGCGGAGAATAGCCGCCCACAGCGGCGGAGGTAGGTTGGCCCTTTCGGCACTTCGGCGGAACTAGTTTCACGCGTGGCCAGAAGGGAGCCAAGGGGGAGTCGCAGCTGTGTGGGTAGTGGCGCAGCCAGACCTGCACGCGAATCCCCCGAGGTGGGCAAGAGCGGGGCGCTACTCCCTTGCTTCAGCGTTGGTCAGGAATACAAGGGAGGGGCACTTATCGGCCAAGTCGAAAAACGCAGGCGCGGGGAGGTGCGCGGAAGAATAGGAAACTGTACCTGGGGTCTCCCCGTTAGGAAACTGCCTCGGGGTCTACGAGCGTAGCCGTGGGGGTTTTAGCCGGTAAGAGTCCGACACTACCCCGACATCCCCCCCCAGGAGGTGCCGGGGTGTCCATGAGGATTTCTACCACGTAAAAAGAAAAAAGAAAACAATTACGGTAATAGGCTTGTGGCCATTCTCAGTGCCGTATTGTGTACCGTATCGATTATTTTTAGATTTCTGGGTTTGGCTAAACTGTAGACGGTTGCTCCGTAACCGATTTTGAATAGGATTAAGGCTCGGTATGTTTTTATGAGGATTTCTTGTTCGTGGAGCACGAGGCTGGAGAGGGACTTGCCAGATGGTGATCCGGTTGCACCCCGATGAGCTGGCTCCTGTCGGCGTTGGGGACGTCCCGAGGGGCGGCGTCAACGGCAGTAGGAAGTCCGACGGTGAGTCGGGGGAATGCTGGGCTATCACTGGGACGACACCACGACCTAGCTGATGTTCGCCAAACTGGGACTCGTCCTCAGGCGAGGCCCAGGGCGGCGAAGTTGTAATACCCTATCCGGCCAAATCCACTCACTTCACCTCCACGCGGGGCTCCTGGGGATCCTCCCGGCTGAAAAGGCGGGAAAGAGGGCGAACGAGGTGAGTGGTACATGTGTGAATGTGTGTATGAATGAGAGAGCGAATAGCCTGCGGCTGGCGCCTGGCGGATATTTCTGTTAGACTAACCAAGGGGGGACTAGTTGCTAGTACCTGGGTGACATTAGTACCAGACCTTTGGCCTAGGAATAAGGGTAAAGATAAGTCCAACAAGCACAGCAGAAGTCCCGTGGACGGCTATGTTTAACGCGGAAGAACCGCTCCCCAGGTACCGTCTGGAGCCTAGGACAGTATTGAAACCGGGTCAGCCGGGCGCAGTGTGTCGAGGATTAGGTGGTCGCTATTTCCTCGTACCCCGCTCCGCGGGGAGAAAACCGCGGCAACGTCTAGCCCGAGGTTTGGGTGAGTCGTCGGTTCGGATCCGGCGGCGCCCACTCGGTAGGGGTCACATAAAACCTTAGCATCATTACGGCGCTGGCCTATTCAGTAACATTTTCCTAGAGGCACTAGATGTCGATAGGGTTGACCACCCGACAAACCCGCTTCTCGGACTTCAACACATTTCACTAGGGATTTCATTTCCGGTGGACAGTAGCTCCACTGCGGTGGAGCTGGCATGATGCCCGAAGCCGATAAAAATATTACCTGCCATATCATGACTAATACACGTAAACAAACCCAATCTAGGAAGGACGGGGAAGTGCAGGAGGGCGGCAGTGGCGGCAGCAGTGTCAGGGATCAGAGGGGTCGAGAGGAAGACGATCAGGCAGCAGGCGTATCTTACGCCAATGCTCTGACTGGCAAAGTTACAAGGGTTGGAGGTGGCGACGACCAGGCTTCGACTTCCGGCGTCACCACACGTGGCAGTGTGAGCACCGAGCAGCTACGCGCGTGCATCGAGGATTTTTGCGATAACCTCAATGGAAGACGGGCTTCCAGAAATAATGCACGCAGAAGAGCGACCTCCAAAGCTAAGGGAGGCGCAAAGTGTGTCGGCGCACGTCCACCAATGGAGGAAACACTCTTTATGAACGATAGCTGTGACGACTCCGACAATTCGCCGGGGAAGGAGCAGCCGCCACTGAAAACATACAGAGACGTTCTCGGCGAATCTCAGTCCCTGATGAGAAAAAGAGGAAGGCGCGTAACAAGCGGCGAGTATAAAGACCGTGCCATCGAAATAAAGAGGTACAATAAGGCCCTTGAGAGACAATTGGAGCTCAAGGCCCAGTTGGACTTTTTCGACCCAAACTTTGAGCCACCCGAACTCAATGCGAGGTGGCCGAAGTTCGAAGCGGAAGTGGCGGAGCAGGCATGTATGTTGCCAACTGCCGATATGCAGGCCCAGATAATAGACGCCTGCAAAGAGGTTGAGAAGGTGGCCGGTACGTCAAGGCCCTGAAAAAGGCGTCCATCCTGTGGCCTCCATCGTGGAGGCTAAAATGTCCGCCCTGCGAGAAGAAATCTGCCGCGTAATGGCTGCCCCTCCTTCCCCTCGGGGGGAGATTAGGGAGGTGAAATGTAACGGGGCGGTTCAACCGCCCTCCGCTACCTCTTCTCCTTCGAAAGAGCCGAAGAAGAAGAAGAGGAAGAATAAGAAGAATTGGTCGCCTGGGCGCCCAGAAACGGAGAGAGTCGCACCGCAGAAGAGGACCCAACCAACACCGGCGATGACAACACATCTTCCCGAGGGGGAGTGGTCGAAGGTGGTTAGCAGAAAAGAGCAGCATGCGACCCGAAAAGCCCCCGCTGCCCCTCAGCCTCCTCCACAAAAGGGGGGGTAGAAGAAGGAGGCGGAAAAGGTGGTTTTTCCT